TACCAAAGTTTAGTGCAAATCTTTTTAAAAGAGATCATTCTTTGTTAACAAAGATCCTTACTGATACTCACATATGCTTATGCTACAACGGAGGAGGTCTTCTCTCAGGGTATGATGGATTTCTTTGTAGGTCAGGTCATGCAGGCTTTAAAAGTGTTTTTTTTCCCTTTAGTCATCCTATCTCTCGCTTGGGGGGTCGGCCATCTGCTTTTCACATTACAGGTCTTTTATTAGCAAATTCTTTAGTGCAGCAGCTTCAGTGTTCTTGTTATCTCCATCTTGGCAGGCTGGAATCTGCTCACCATTTCTGATGTTCAGCTTTCCAGGTGAACCCAGTTTCTCCCCACCCTTCATCTGCTTTCAGCTTTTTGATCTTGCTCACACCCATTCTTTTGCCTCCTGCACTATTTTCCCACTTATCCTCCATTCATTTCCTCAAGTGCTTACAGAGCATTAGTAATTAGAATAAATCAGTTAGGTATACAAATGGTACCTAACTGAGATTCACCCCATGAGAGATTTATTAAGATGCAACAAGAGAAGCAGCTCCCAACTGATTCTCTCTAAATATCTTGAATTTCAGTTCCTCTGTCAATATATCAGTAACTATTTTGGTTGGCATTTACCAATCCAGATTTGTTGGATTCAGTTCCTGCTGCTCTTTGTTGCTGGAAGACAATAATGGGAATCCAACTTCAGGGTGAGGTTGAGGGTTTGGGAAAAGCTAAACCAACTAAACTAATACTTATCAAGGAGAATATTTGTAGCTCAGGGCTGAAATGAAGGGTTCTTGTTGCTTTCTGAGCTTGGTTGTTTCCTTGCAGAACAAGGAAACCTCAAACTTACTTTACATAACACATATAGCGATTTAATTGCACGGATCACTAAAGTTACATTCCAGACATTGGATAGGGATCAGGACAAAATTTTAAGAAGATGAATTAAATGCAGTTAATTACATTATTATGTGTCATGGTTTCATGCTGAAATGGGGTTCGGTAGGTTGCAGTTTGGCATCTTGTGGGACCTAGACATATTCTTAACATCTTGTGAATTGAGTAATCATATTAAGCCATAGTGTAGTTTCTTTGAAAATGAATATTTCCTGTGAACAAGTAATTGTGATTTGTTACCTCTACTCTGGGATTTAACATGCTGTGGGAATTTAACCTATGTATTAAATAATTGCCATACTTTGGCTCAAGAAAATGTTATGGATAGGCTTTTTAAGTTTCATCCAAAGCTTTACAGATGGAATGGGGTAAAAAGAGGAATATGGAGGTATGTTTGTGCAAATGAGAGGAAACATAGTGCTCAAGGGGGAGGAAAGAGGGGAAAAAATAATCCTGTTGTAGTGATTAGCCTTTATATTTATGGTCCGGCTTGTTGTTCTAATTCAGGAACATGAAAAAAACATAAAATATTGTGATTATTGTATGTGTTATTAGGAAGAGGGATATGTTATCAATTCCTCCACCCAAAACCCCTTAGGAACAATGTACTGTAACATTTATTATAGTTAAACCTGCAAGATACCTGAAAAAAATAATTTGTCAAAAACAATATTTTAAAAAAGATAACACATTTATTCTAAAAAGGAGCCTTTTATGCAGCATGTCACATCAATAAAAAATGACACATCTTTTTCCAATTAAAGGGAGAAGAAAAGATCTTTTTTTTTTCATTCCATGATACAATACAAACTCAAGTGTTTACAAGCTTCAGAATAAGAAAATTCCCCACTGCTACAGCTATTTAGCAGCTGTGTTAATCAAAGACTGCTTGCAATAAGAAGTTAAAAGTCCCTGACCCTGACCTTGTATGAAAGTATGAATCAGCAAAAGAAAAATGAGAGTCTCTGCATTATCACATCCTAGAAGATATTAACACCCCTTTACTATGTAAACAGCAAAAACAAAATGTCTCTAAATTCCCAGATAATTACATGGCACAGATTTGTATCTTGGATAGAAAATTCTCCTCCTTACTAAGATGATAGTTTCTGTAACTACAAGATTCAGTGTAAAAATCTTACAGTAAGTTAACTATTTATGTTTACTTATCATTTTTTTGCCTATAAAATGCTACTTGGGCTGAGAGCCACAGAGGCAGTTTTCGGACTCAACCTGGCTTTATATCTATTCCATATTTTCAATATGAATAGAATAGAATAGAATAACAGAGTTGGAAAGGACCATGGAGGTCTTCTAGTCCAACCACCTGCTTAGGCAGGAAACACTCTACCATTTCAGACAAATGGCTGTCCTGTCTCTTCTTAAAAACCTCCAGTGTTGGAGCATTCACAACTTCTGGAGGCAAGTTGTTCTAACTGTCAGGAAATTTCTTCTTAGTTCTAGGTTGTTCCTTTCCTTGATTAATTTCCATCCATTCTTCTTGTCCTGCCCTCAGATGCTTTGGAGAATAGCTTGACTCCCTCTTCTTTATGGCAACCCCTAAGATATTGGAACACTGCTATCATGTTACCCCTAGTCCTTCTTTTCATTAAACTAGACATACCCAATTTCAGCAACCGTTCTTTATATGTTTTAGCCTCCAGTCCCTTGATCATCTTTTTTGCTCTTCTCTGCACTCTTTCTAGAGTCTCAACATATTTTTTACATCATGGTGACCAAAACTGGATGCAGTATTCCAAGTGTGGCCTTACCAAGGCATTATAAGGTGGTATTAACACTTCACGTGATCTTGATTCTATCCCTCTGTTAATGCAGCCTAGCATTGTGTTGGCTTTTTTGGCAGCTGCAGCACACTGCTGACTCATATTTAAGTGACATATCATACAATCAGAATAGAGCTGGAAGGGACCTTGGAGATCTTCTAGTCCAGCCCCCTGCTCAGGCAGGAGATCCTATACCATTTCAGACAAGTGGCTGCACAGTCTCTTTTTAAAAACCTTCAGTGATAAAGCACCCACAATTTTTGAAAGCAAGCTGTTCCACTGGTTAATTGTTCTACTATTAGAAAGTTTCTCCTTAATTCAAGGTTGCTTCTCTCCTTGATTAGATTCCATTCATTGTTTCTTGTCTTGCCTTCTGGTGCTTTGGAAAATACGTTGACCCCTCCTCTTTGTGTCTGCCCCTCAAATACTGGAATACTGCTATCATGTCACTCCTAGTCCTCCTTTTCTCTAGACTAGCTATCCCAATTTCTGGAACTGTTCTTCATAGTCCTATTTTTCTAGCTTACCAAGAAGTAGGTTGTGATCTACTCTGTCAAATACCTTACTGAAATCTAAGTATATTATGTCCACAGCATTTCTAACATAATGATTTTTAAAATCTATATTAACCTTAACTTTATTATACCACAAATGTCCATGCCACCTAAATCTTAGTTTGTTTCCTTCCAACTACAAAAGCCTTCTATTTGTCATCCAAATTAATTTGTCTTTCATTCAAGCTAAAGAACAAGCAGCAAAGTACAACAAACACAGTCTGCCTCTTTTCTTTGCATCTTGTGACACCTTACATTAAACTCATGGCTTTTCTCCTTGCCATTCAAATTCAGATATGTCCATTGTTTAAATGGTGTGTCAGTTCTCAAAACAGGTATTGCCTGAAACAAAAATAACATTCTAGATAAAACATTCATTTTAATCATAGCAATTCTACCTAGGATTAACAATAGCATTTTCACCCATCTCAACATATATTTTAAACTTCATTCTAGGTTTTAACAATACAGTATTTTGAAGTAACATACAGTTCATATTTGTCAAAGTGAAACCCAAATATTTTACTTTCTTTTCAGTTTTGAAACCCTTTTTATTCATCCATTATGTTTGATCTTGTATTTTCATATTTTTATTAACAACTTTGTCTTATGTTTATTAATCTTAAAATCTGCTAACACACCAATTTTTTTAAATTTACCTATTAATGTTTCAGTTCCTTTAAAAGATCTTCCAAGAACCAACATAAAGTCATTATAAGTCTTATAAGTCTCTTTTTAAACTCTTTATTCTCACAGTCATATTATCCTGTCTTATATATCCATTATTTTAAGAACCGGTGGGGATGTGGTGGTAACAGAAGCTTAATGATGCCAGAAATTATCTGTATTCTGGTGATTGGAACCCAGCTCCATGAGATGGAGTAAGCTCCCATCACTTGACCCCTAACTCCTGCCAACCCAGCTGTTCAAAAGCAGGCAATATTGCAAATAGCTAAATGGCTACCATTTTAGTGGGGGAAAAACCTAGCTGCATTTGTGTGCATGGAGAGTGGAAGCCGGCACTGGACCTTGGCCAGACACGAGGCATTATGACACAAGGTAAGTGGACCCTGGCAGAGAAGCTGCAAGAGCCGCAACCCAAGTGCCACTAGCTAATTGGGTGCGCAAGCACCCAATGGAATGAACTAGCAATCTAGGTTGTCAGGATGTGTCTAACATGTGTAGATTTTCCCGATATTGTATGCCATATGCTAAATAAATAAATACATTTCAGGAACCAAAATATACAGGAAAAGGAGCAGTGGGGAGCCTTTATCCTATTCCTTCTTGTATTTCACATGGTTTTGTTAGATCTCCGTTAACAATTATATTTGCTTTTTGTGTAGTGTAAATTTATTTTACACTACACAGAAATTAGCAGACATTAGTATAATCTGCAGTGCATATTATTCCAGAGTGTTGGATTGGCAACAGCTATATAACATGATGTCTTGATTCTTGTCATAAACTCTTGTCTCATAACTCTTGTCTCAAGGAGTGAAAAAAATGGACCAGGCATATCTCTAAGAAATTGCCCCAAAGGTAAATATCACTAAATTTATGTGAAGTATGAACCATAGAATCTAAATCAGTGGTTTTAGAATCAAAATAGTTCAGAGGAACCTTCCTCTATTTTATAAAAAAAAAGTCCTGGAAAAAAAAATCTCATGATCATGAAAATACCTCTCAAATTGTTTCTCTGCCATCTCTAGAACATTCACCTCTGTTCCTATCTCTAACGTCTGCTATCTCCTTTCTATGTTTTGTAGTTTCTAGACCTCAGAGGTCTCCTGAAGACTTGAAGATGCTAATGGGAAGTGTGAATCAGTTAAATGAAAGTTTTCAGAATCTTCAGTTGAAAACAGGGAAGCAGTTACCTTTCAAAGGAGACATCCTGGACCAAATTTGGAGCCTGCAAGACATGCTTCAGAATCATTCTGACTCTCTGCTAATGTTGAGCAGCTCACTTCAGAAGTTGGAAGGGACACTCAGGAGCCTGCAGGCCCAGGCATCTCAGGCAGATCGAGTCCTTTCTGGCCTACGCGATAGCCTGAGCCAGCAAAATGACATGGCACAAACGGAAATCTACAAGCTTGCTGTAGAGGGAAATAGTAGCAGTTTGCTTTTGAGGCATCATGAGGACTTGCTCTCTAAGCTGGCGTCTCAAGTGGAGAGCTTGAATGACCAACTGACAGAGGTAGGTGGGCAGGTGGGTAGCATGAACCGGACTCTGTCTTATGACGTGGGAATCCACCATACCCGTATCCAGGACCTGCAAGTCCTCATCAGCAATGCCTCAGAAGATGCTCGGCAGATGCGCTTTGTCCACATCGCCATGGAACAGCNCAGCAAGCGGGACTGACCTAGGGTGAATTTTAAATAGGGACAATTTTAATGATTTTAATAAGACACAGCTTTAAATATTTGGTTTTTAATTGGCTTTTATAGGGGAAATGTTTTATATTGTTTTAACATGCTGTGAGCCGCCCTGAGTCCCATGGGGAGAAGGGCGGCATATAAGTTAAATAAATAAATAAATAAATAACAGGTGCTCATGCTCCACTCTATCCCAAAGCCTGGGAGAATAGCCAAGCCTATAATAAATTCTTGAATGCCATCAGAGTGGGAGATCCGATGATGCTCTGGTTACTACACCTGAATGGAAACAGTCATGGGTAATGCAGATCGTCAGAGCAAAACAGTCTTAAGGCAGTCCAATTTGGGATTTCTCTCAAGGTTCATGTGTCCTTTAACCTTTTCCTTGACTAATGATTGGCAGCTCTTGGAATGCTCTCCCTAGCAGTCCTACACCAGCTGGGGTTAATTACAGCAATGTGAGTTCATCTCAGGTCCCAATTTACCAATCAAGATTTGCTTCTATGGTCCCGAATTATGTGCACTGAGTTGCAAGTGGCCCCATACTCAGCTTCAGCTAAATATGTATAGGCTTCAGACCTGGCAGTCTTGTCCTGCTTCCCTCTTCGGAGATCCATTAAATAGGTGAAATGGTAGAGAAACAGTTTGCCCTAAATTGCTAAAGCCTAGCTTTCAGTAAAGATAACTAAAAAGGAGTCTCTCTTCTTGTGGAGTAGCTACTACAAACCCTTCTTGGATGCTCTTACTACTGCTACTATCATTAGCATGCTTGGTCGATACCAGTGTTACACTACACAAAATGGTCATGTGTAAAATTAAAGTCTAATACCAGAATAAAAGAAGGGACCTTCGAGGTCTTCTAGTCCAACCCCGTGCTTGAGTAGGACACCCTATACCATTTCAGACAAATGGTTGTCTAATCTCTTCTTAAAAACCTCCAGTATTGGTGAGCCCCCGCAACTTCTGTAGGCAAGTCATTCCACTGATTAATTGTTCTAACTGTTAGGAAATTTCTCCTTAGTTCTAAGTTGCTTCTCTCCTTGATTAGTTTTCACCTGTTGCTTCTTATCCTGCCTCCAGGTGCTTTGGAGAATAGCTTGACTCCCTCTTTTTTGTGTGGCAGCCCCTTAGATATTGGAACACTGCTATTGTGTCACCCCTTGTCCTTCTCTTCATTAAACTAGGCATTACCCAATTCCAGCAATTGTTCTTTATATGTTTTAAGCTCCAGTTGCCTAATCACCTTTGTTGCTCTTCTCTGCACTTTTTCTAGAGTCTCAACTTCTTTTTCATAATCATACAAAACTGGATGCAATATTCCAAGTGTGGTCTTATCAAGGCATTTAGTTTATGTGATTTACCACCACTACCACCCACTCTCATTCCAGGGTTGTTGCAATGGGATATTGAGTAATCCAAGTATGAGACCTAGTATACCAAAGTTTAATGCAAATCTTTTTAAAAGAGATCATTCTTTGTTAACAAAGATCCTTACTGATACTCACATATGCTTATGCTACAACGGAGGAGGTCTTCTCTCAGGGTATGATGGATTTCTTTGTAGGTCAGGTCATGCAGGCTTTAAAAGTGTTTTTTTTTCTTTAGTCATCCTATCTCTCACTTGGGGGGTCGGCCATCTGCTTTTCACATTACAGGTCTTTTATTAGCAAATTCTTTAGTGTAGCAGTTTCAGTGTTCTTGTTATCTCCATCTTGGCAGGCTGGAATCTGCTCACCATTTCTGATGTTCAGCTTTCCAGGTGAACCCAGTTTCTCCCCACCCTTCATCTGCTTTCAGCTTTTTGATCTTGCTCACACCCATTCTTTTGCCTCCTGCAATATTTTCCCACTTATCCTCCATTCATTTCCTCAAGTGCTTACAGCGCATTAGTAATTAGAATAAATAAGTTAGGTATACAAATGGTACCTAACTGAGATTCACCCCATGAGAGATTTATTAAGATGCAACAAGAGAAGCAGCCCCCAACTGATTCTCTCTAAATATCTTGAATTTCAGTTCCTCTGTCAATATATCAGTAACTATTTTGGTTGGCATTTACCAATCCAGATTTGTTGGATTCAGTTCCTGCTGGAAGACAATAATGGGAATCCAACTTCAGGGTGAGGTTGAGGGTTTGGGAAAAGCTAAACCAACTAAACTAATACTTATAAAGGAGAATATTTGTAACTCAGGGCTGAAATGAAGGGTTCTTGTTGCTTTCTGAGCTTGGTTGTTTCCTTGCAGAACAAGGAACCCTCAAACGTACTTTACATAACACACATAGCGATTTAATTGCACGGATCACTAAAGTTACATTCCAGAAATTGGATAGGGATCAGGACAAAATTTTAAGAAGATTTATTTTAATTAGAATTAAATGCAGTTAATTACATTATTATGTGTCATGGTTTCATGCTGAAATGGGGTTCGGTAGGTTGCAGTTTGGCCTCTTGTGGGACCTAGACATTTTCTTAACATCTTGTGAATTGGGTAATCATATTAAGCCATAATGTAGTTTCTTTGAAAATGAATATTTCCTGTGAACAAGTAATTGTGATTTGTTACCTCTACTCTGGGATTTAACGTGTTGTGGGAATTTAACCTATGTATTAAATAATTGCCATACTTTGGCTCAAGAAAATGTTATGGATAGGCTTTTTAAGTTTCATCCAAAGCTTTACAGATGGGATGGGGTAAAAAGAGGAATATGGAGGTAGGTTTGTGCAAATGAGAGGAAACACAGTGCTCAAGGGGGAGGAAAGAGGGGAAAAAAATAATCCTGTTGTAGTGATCAGCCTTTATATTTATGGTCCGGCTTGTTGTTCTAATTCAGGAACATGAAAAAAACATAAAATATTGTGATTATTGTATGTGTTATTAGAAAGAGGGATATGTTATCAATTCCCCCACCCAAAACCCCTTAGGAACAATGTACTGTAACATTTATTATAGTTAAACATGCAAGATACCTGAAAAAATAATTTGTCAAAAACAATATTTTAAAAAAGATAACACATTTATTCTAAAAAGGAGCCTTTTATGCAGCATGTCACATCAATAAAAAATGACACATCTTTTTCCAATTAAAGGGAGAAGAAAAGATCTTTTTTTTCATTCCATGATACAATACAAACTCAAGTGTTTACAAGCTTCAGAATAAGAAAATTCCCCACTGCTACAGCTATTTAGCAGCTGTGTTAATCAAAGACTGCTTGCAATAAGAAGTTAAAAGTCCCTGACCCTGACCTTGTATGAAAGTATGAATCAGCAAAAGAAAAATAAGAGTCTCTGCATTATCACATCCTAGAAGATATTAACACCCCTTTACTATGTAAACAGCAAAAACAAAATGTCTCTAAATTCCCAGATAATTACATGGCACAGATTTGTATCATGGATAGAAAATTCTCCTCTTTACTAAGATGATAGTTTCTGTAACTACAAGATTCAGTGTAAAAATCTTACAGTAAGTTAACTATTTATGTTTACTTATCATTTTTTGCCTATAAAATGCTACTTGGGCTGAGAGCCACAGAGGCAGTTTTTGGACTCAACCTGGCTTTATATCTATTCCATATTTTCAATAAGAATAATAGAATAGAATAGAATAGAATAGAATAGAATAGAATAGAATAGAATAGAATAAACAAGTTGGAAGGGACCTTGGAGGTCTTCTAGTCCAACCACCTGCTTAGGCAGGAAACCCTCTACCATTTCAGACAAATGGTTGTCCAATCTCTTCTTAAAAACCTCCAATGTTGGAGCATTCCCAACTTCTGGAGGCAAGTTGTTCCACTGATTAATTGTTCTAACTGTCAGGAAATTTCTTCTTAGTTCTAGGTTGTTCCTTTCCTTGATTAATTTCCATCCATTCTTCTTGTCCTGCCCTCAGATGTTTTGGAGAATAGCTTGACTCCCTCTTCTTTATGGCAACCCCTAAGATATTGGAACACTGCTATCATGTCCCCCCTCGTCCTTCTCTTCATTAAACTAGACATACCCAATTCCAGCAACCTTTCCTTATATGTTTTAGTCTCGAGTCCCCTAATCATCTTTTTTGCTCTTCTCTGTACTCTTTCTAGAGTCTCAACATATTTTTTACATCATGGTGACCAAAACTGGATGCAGTATTCCAAGTGTGGCCTTACCAAGGCATTATAAAGTGGTATTAACACTTCACGTGATCTTGATTCTATCCCTCTGTTAATGCAGCCTAGAACTGTGTTGGGTTTTTGGCAGCTGCAGCACACTGCTGGCTCATATTTAAGTGACATATCATACAATCAGAATAGAGCTGGAAGGGACCTTGGAGATCTTCTAGTCCAGCCCCCTGTTCAGGCAGGAGATCCTATACCATTTCAGACAAGTGGCTGCACAGTCTCTTCTTAAAAACCTTCAGTGATAAAGCACCCACAATTTTTGAAGGCAAGCTGTTCCACTGGTTAATTGTTCTCACTATTAGAAAGTTTCTCCTTAATTCAAGGTTGCTTCTCTCCTTGATTAGTTTCCATTCATTGTTTCTTGTCTTGTCTTCTGGTGCTTTAGAAAATACATTGACCCCTCCTCTATGTGTCTGCCCCTCAAATACTGGAATATTGCTATCATGTCACCCCTTGTCCTTTTCTCTAGACTAGCTATACCCAATTTCTGGAACTGTTCTTCATAGTCCTATTTTTCTAGTTTACCAAGAAGTAGGTTGTGATCTACTCTGTCAAATACCTTACTGAAATCTAAGTATATTATGTCCACAGCATTTCTAACATAATGATTTTTAAAATCTATATTAACCTTAACTTTATTATACCACAAATGTCCATGCCACCTAAATCTTACTTTGTTTCCTTCCAACTACAAAAGCCTTCTATTTGTCATCCAAATTAATTTGTCTTTCATTCAAGCAGCAAAGTACAACAAACCCAGTCTGCCTCTTTTCTTTGCATCTTGTGACACCTTACATTAAACTCATGGCTTTTCTCCTTGCCATTCAAATTCAGATATGTCTGTTGTTTAAATGGTGTGTCAGTTCTCAAAACAGGTATTGCCTGAAACAAAAATAACATTCTAGATAAAACATTCATTTTAATCATAGCAATTCTACCTAGGATTAACAATAGCATTTTCTCCCACCTCAACATATCTTTTAAACTTCATTTTAGGTTTTAACAATACAGTATTTTGAAGTAACATACAGTTCATATTTGTCAAAGTGAAACCCAAATATTTTACTTTCTTTTCAGTTTTGAAACCCTTTTTATTCATCCATTATGTTTGATCTTGTATTTTCATATTTTTATTAACAACTTTGTCTTATGTTTATTAATCTTAAAATCTGCTAACACACCAATTTTTTTAAATTTACCTATTAATGTTTCAGTTCCCTTAAAAGATCTTCCAAGAACCAACATAAAGTCATTTGCAAAGGCTCTTATAAGTCTCTTTTAAAACTCTTTATTCTCACAGTCATATTATCCTGTCTTATATATCCATTATTTTAAGAACCGGTGGGGATGTGGTGATAACAGAGGCTTAATGATGCCAGAAATGATCTGTATTCTGGTGATTGGAACCCAGCTCCGTGAGACGGAGTAAGCTCCCATCACTTGACCCCTAACTCCTGCCAACCCAGCAGTTCAAAAGCAGGCAATATTGCAAATAGCTAAATGGCTACCATTTTAGTGGGGAAAAAACCTAGCTGCATTTGTGTACATGGAGAGTGGAAGCCGGCACTGGACCTTGGCCAGACACGAGGCATTATGACACGAGGTAAGTGGACCCTGGCAGAGAAGCTGCAAGAGCCGCAACCCAAGTGCCACGAGCTAATTGGGTGCGCAAGCACCCAATGGAATGAACTAGCAATCTAGGTTGTCAGGATGTGTCTAACATGTGTAGATTTCCCTGATATTGTATGCCATATGCTAAATAAATAAATACATTCCAGGAACCAAAATATACAGGAAAAGGAGCAGTGGGGAGCCTTTATCCTATTCCTTCTTGTATTTCATATGGTTTTGTTAGATCTCCGTTAACAATTATATTTGCTTTTTGTGTAGTGTAAATTTATTTTATACTACACAGAAATTAGCAGATATTAGTAGAATCTGCAGTGCATATTATTCCAGAGTGTTGGATTGGCAACAGCTATATGTTGGTGTCTTGATTCTTGTCATAAACTCTTGTCTCATAACTCTTGTCTCAAGGAGTGAAAAAAATGGACCAGGCATATCTCTAAGAAATTGCCCCAAGGGTAAATATCACTAAATTTATGTGAAGTATGAACCACAGAATCTAAATCAGTGGTTTTAGAATCAAAATAGTTCAGAGGAACCTTCCTCTATTTTATAAAAAAAAAGTCCTGGAAAAAAAAATCTCATGATTATGAAAATACCTCTCAAATTGTTTCTCTGCCATTCTAGAACATTCACCTCTGTTCCTATCTCTAACGTCTGCTATCTCCTTTCTATGTTTTGTAGTTTCTAGACCTCAGAGGTCTCCTGAAGACTTGAAGATGCTAATGGGAAGTGTGAATCAGTTAAATGAAAGTTTTCAGAATCTTCAGTCGAAAACAGGGAAGCAGTTACCTTTCAAAGGAGACATCCTGGACCAAATCTGGAGCCTGCAAGACATGCTTCAGAATCATTCTGACTCTCTGCTAATGTTGAGCAGCTCACTTCAGAAGTTGGAAGGGGCACTCAGGAGCCTGCAGGCCCAGGCATCTCAGGCAGATCGAGTCCTTTCTGGCCTACGCGATAGCCTGAGCCAGCAAAATGACATGGCACAAATGGAAATCTACAAGCTTGCTGTAGAGGGAAATAGTAGCAGTTTGCTTTTGAGGCACCATGAGAACTTACTCTCTAAGCTGGCGTCTCAAGTGGAGAGCTTGAATGACCAACTGACAGAGGTAGGTGGGCAGGTGGGTAGCATGAACCGGACTCTGTCTTATGACGTGGGAATCCACCATACCCGTATCCAGGACCTGCAAGTCCTCATCAGCAATGCCTCAGAAGATGCTCGGCAGATGCGCTTTGTCCACATCGCCATGGAACAGC